GGAGCGGGTAAAAGGAGCGGGTAATTAAAAAAGGAGCGGGTAAAGGAGCGGGTAATTTAAAAGTGCGCCCCGGCAATCACTTGAGCCTGTTTGCTTTCTCTTGGACGACGCTCGAGATTTACCGTGGAGGCATTTATAATCGTTCAAATCATTCATCAATCCTAACCTCTTTATTTGAAAGAATTAGTTCTTTTTATTCTAAAGGTATGTTCCATGTTTTTATTCAGCTATTTCAACAATTGCCATCACAATCATTTTAATAATTTGCCACTCACGATGGCCGCCATGTACGTAAGGCATGTGCGTACGCCGCCGGAAAGAAATATGTTTTTTAGCACTAAATAGCTGTATTTCAACAAGGAGGAAAGCAATACTTAAAATTTAATACAAAACCTGTTTCCAGAACGTAGAGCAGATTTAAAACTGTTTTCTCAGGAGTCAGAGTGCGAAGTTTTTTTCGGCACGCTCAAACTTGTGTAATATTTTGAATAGGAAACTGTTACCCAGGACGTTTTTGCTGTTAGTGGATGTAAAATACCATCCAGGAAACCAGGTTTAATTGTTAAAGTTGAAACCTTTTGATAAAAAATATTTTTTCTTGCTAATTTTCGCTCGAAAACAAACTTTTGACTGAATTTCCAGCTCCTCGAAGCTTTCTCTAGTCCTTTTGAAAGTTAGTTTATCCCGCGAACTTCCCGAGCTTGGCTTCAAATTTGGCTTTAACCAATCATAGGACTCGATCTCTGGAGTTATCGTTCCAGTTTTCTTATAGCTGACTGCGGTTTAGACTAGTTATAGGTTAACAAAAATACGCTTAAAACGTAAAATCCGGATGGCTAAAAACTTGAAATTCGGATAAATTTATAGTAAAAAAGGTTTATAGTTTCCTTTGCTCTATAGAGTTAGTGATGCATACCACAGTTTGGAGAGGCAATAGCCGAAACAGACTGTAGATTTTTGAGTAGCACTTGTGTTATAACAATTTTATGGCAGGACTTAATTTGGGACTTTATTAGTCCTGTTGTCTGTGCCTTCAATTTCTTATTGTAAAACTAATAAAAAAAAAAATTTAAAAAAAAAAATAATTTTTTTTGTCCATTTGGTGACCAAAAAACGTTCGGTTAGTGGATTGTACGTATTTTCAGTACGTCATAGTAAGACATGTTCAGGCTGTTAAATATCTGTCAAATTTAACATTTGATAGAATTTTCGAGATTTTTTATGTGAAATCAATGGTTTCACTTAGTAAAAATAGTTGTCATGTTGTTTACACTTTCATAAAAAAAATGCCTTTTTTGCTTTAAAATTCCCCACTGGCGCTTAGCACCTGGGAAATGACCGGCTCCTTTTCAAATTACCCGCTCCTCTTACCCGCTCCTTTTTTAATTACCCGCTCCTTTTTTAATTACCCGCTCCTTTTACCCGCTCTTTTTTTTAACTACCCGCTCCTTTTACCCGCGACCCGCTCTTTTTACCCGCGACCCGCTACCCGCTCCAAATAGATACTCCCTATCTGGTATAAAGTGTCCTACGTTTTATCAGGGACATACATAATTCATAAACTGTATATGCACACGAAGTCTCGCTTATATTAATGAGTTTTACTGTAGCAAACCTTTTAAAGTTTCCATGCATGCAATTGATAGATAGGTTGTTTGCCTCCAGTATTGTTTGGTAAAACAGAATAAACTTCTAAAATGTCGATTCCAGTATACGATAAAGATTAAAGTTGATTTAAATATTGATAACTCACAGCGGCATTAATCCATTATACAAGTCTAAAGAAGCTGGATTATTCCTCAATGGACAATGCCAATGTCAATGAAAGGTCTTATATTATACATGTTGCAAATTACTGTATATACAACATATGAAATAATTTATATAAAGTACAATACCAGTGTCTGGTGCATATATCGTCCTAGATATTCAAGTTGTACCGCACGCACGGAAAAGCATGCATGTACGGAGTCTTGGCGTTTGTTTGATAACAGATAGCTAGCTACACTTCGACATTATCTTTCTTGATCGTTGAGTTTAGCAATGTAAATGAAATGAATTTTATAGCCAGTCCATAACGGGTTTTAATCCTGTGCTTTTACAGTCAGAATAGCACTATTGTTTACACATGTTGGCGATGTTTGGGAACTTCAAAGACAAAGGATCCCGTTATAAAATAAATCTTTTGTTTTGAATATCGGACAGGATACACTTCAACTATAACGAACCATATCGTTCGTTTAATACCGTTTGATCGATCAGTCTGTGTAGAAGATATGTATGTTTCTACGGCGATACGTGCTAAACTTCGCAGGCCAGGCGCGTGTGGAGTGTTTTCCTTGCAAGTGAAATATGATCCAGCTTCTCGCTTGAAATGTAACGCAACACTTATTATTGATGACATTCAGTATAGCAGGAAGTCTTGTCATGATCGATACGAATTTAGAACAGTTCCTTTCACAATCTCTTGTTGCAAATTACATTTTTATCACCCGAAATTATAACACATAAAGTTGCAATTTTCCAAACGCAACAAACAGACTACTCTCCTACCCCTCCCTGAGATCAAATTCAATTTACCCCCAAAATCTGGGGGTTCACGTGACCAGCTCCGACCAGGGTCTTTGCTTCCCAAGAGCAAATAGCCTGGGAACGAGGTTGGCTTTGCCTGTGGTTGAAAATCTCCAGAAATATCGGTATATCTTAGAAAACATAGACGGGGTCTTCAGAGATTTCAGCTCATTCGTGCCAAACTTCGCTACACATAAATAATATCGATTGAGAAGTCTTTTGGCTGTTTATTTGTTTCGAAGACTTGTATATTTCATTAAAGAATATCTCGCCACTCCTTGACGAGTAGCTGTCAAATACTGCCATTTTTTGGGTAGTCACGTGACCGGCCGAGACCAGGGCCACAGAATAAAGATCAGTACCAGAAGGGCCACTCAGCGGTGCAACGTGTTACCATTTTTCTATGCAAAAATGTGCAATTGACTGGCCAGAAGGCGGGGCCTCCAGCCAATACAGCGCGTTTATTGGCCAGAAAATGTAATCGACTGGCTAGGAAGATGGCGGCCAGGGGGCCCTTCTGTGTGCCTTATTCTGTGCCAGGGCTTTCTCGTCTCGCCCCTCGTCCTCACACGAAAGCCCTGGGAACGAGGTTGGATTTCATTATAAATTGATATATATATAGTTTAATTTGTGCCCAATTACACTATCGCATGTGTGATCGAACAACATGTGCCATGTGGTGTTGTTAGAAGTATAAATTTGATATGTAAACAGACGTTTTATAGTTTTATTTGGTACACTGGTCAGGGCCTCTTTTAAGGATTTTCCAGTGGAGGGGGGGGGGGGCATTTTTTGAAAAGGGACCTTTCTGAAGGCCACGGGGTCTGGGGGCATATTCTCCCAAAAAAGTTTTTAAATTTGAAGCCCGGAAATGCCATTTCCTGCATTCTGAGCATTTAAATTTGCTCTAAGTATACTAATGCTAAGTATACTTGTATTGGAAAAAAAGGAAACAACGCACAAAAAATAAAAAAAATTATTAACAATAATTTATCATTACTTAGTCAGTAGACAAACGTAACAATTTAAATCAATTTTGTTAAACAAGGACAAAGGATAAAGCCTAAAATTTACTTTTTGTTTGTCAATTTGTTATTTTTCGCTGGTTTTCTCATTCCGTATTTTAAAGATTCCGGCGAGTTGAGACCTTGAGAAAGCTTGTCTTTCAAGCCGTGCACACTACTATTACTAATTAAATATTTGTTTGCTGTTCGGTTAAATAGAGAAACTAAACTCTTAATTATACGAAAGTACCTTGAATTTTTAAGTTTAATTAAAAAGCAAAATGCACACTCTGCGGACATGTTCATGAGAATATAAATTTTTTGTGCAATGAAATCTACAACACTTGTCAATCATATTGCATGACTATGTCTAAAAATAACGTGTGGGCGTCCCACGGTCTAGACAGGTTTTGTGTCAGACCCTATTTAAAATTAGGGCCTGAACGTCAGGTTACGTTTTAACCCCATATCCGTTCCGTTCCGCATTTTAACCCCATATCCGTTCCGTTCCGCATTTTAACCCCATATCCGTTCCGTTCCGCATTTTAACCCCATCCGTTCCACATCCGTTCCGCATCCGCTTCCGCATTTTAACCTAACCCATTTGCATGACCTTTATATTAATTGACGCCTTGAGGTTTTGAGCCCTTGACCGAGCTATTTTTAAAACTGTTGTTTATGTGAATTTGCAACCAATCAAAATCTTTGATGATGCTGATCAACCAATCAGATTTCCCGTCCACCAGATGGACGGGAATCCCACAGTTTAGACAGGTTTTGTGTCAGGCCCTATTCTGTGATTAGGGCCTGAAGTTAGGTTAAATAAGCCATATAACCTGAAGTTCAGGCTCTAATTTCAAAATTAGGGCCTGAACTTTAGGTTAGGTTAAATAAGCCATTGAACGCCAGCACGAAGAGCAGGAAGTCAAATGAGCCATTGAACGCCAATAAGATAATCACATGCGTCCACGATTTGTTTCGATTGGTCAGAATTAACGAGAATAAGTCTTGCGCGAAAAAACCCAGACCGAAACTATGACTGGAGCTGAGCTCGAGTAAAAAGGGATTAATTAAAAACTGTTGACTTTAGGATGAAAATTCCCATGTAATCGCATTTTTGCCGAGTTGTCCCGGCTAAGCGGGTTTAAAATCGCAATCAAAGTGTTGTTCTTAACTGTTTCAATAAACTTTGTGTAAAAGTACATGCGAAAAAAACCTGTTGTAGCTAAAACTATATAATATCGAAATGCATCATAAACCATTTTTAATAAATATGTATTTTTTCGTATATTTATACTACATAATATGTGATGAAGATAGTCTCATTTTATTGTACCCTCCTTGATACTGTGTATTCTTTATCACGATATAGGATTTAATAAAACGAAAATTCCTCGGTATATCCAATTCCTTTCGTCATTCGTAATGGCTTTTGTAAGTGAGATTGAGATATCTCAGCTTTCGAAGGATTTGAAAAGCAAAGAATCTGCGTATGCGATTCTATCTAATCTTCTACCACTGGTTTTGCAACGTAGCCGCGAGATCCAGCAACAACAACGTGAAACTAAAATGCTGAGGAGACCCCTAGACTTGATATCGAAGTCTCTGCTACCATCCGATTTTAAAAATTGCTTACCACTACAGTCAACTGCCAACGGAAACTGTCTTTTTAATAGTGTGTCAATTTTATTGACCGGTGATGAGTCGTTAGCAGCGGCTCTTCGTCTTCTATCCGTATCAGAATTATTTGCTTATTCCGAGTTTTATGCTGCCCATCCACAGCTTGCAATGATGTCCAGTATTTCTGGTTATTCCGTACCAGCAATTATCAACATATTTTTAAGCGATCAGGTAGCTTGTAATGTCTATAATGGTAATGCAACAAGTGCTCCTCGTGCCATCGAAGCTCTTGCAAAGATAACTGCTAAACCATACGTTTATGCAAGTCAATTTCATATTCTCGCTCTTGCGTCTGTTATTTCGAAACCCATCCACTCGGTGTACCCAGACACGACATCGAGTATCGCTATAAAGAAAGCCTTGCACGGTATCTTCTATCCCAGAGAAGTTCTTAGTAGTCAAAGTACTTCACCCGATGCAAGCGATCCTCTATATATAATGTGGACAAATATTCGACGTTCCCAACTTGAAAAATTGTGGAAACCAAATCATTTTGTTCCTGTGATTGAACAGATTTCACGACGTGAAACAGATGGAAGCTATGCGGACGTAACTAGACGCAGAAGAAGATTCTCATCTACTAAAGAAGCCAGCCGTATTGCAAAATTACCTGAACAATTTCTTTCCAGCACAACACCTAAACTTTCCAGGACATTACCTAAACCTTCCAGCGCACCACCTAGACCTTCCAGCACACCGCCTAAACCTTCCAGCACACCACCTAAACCTTCCCGCACACCACCTAAGCCTTCCAGCACACCTGAACCTTTCAGAAAACCACATAAACCATCCAGCACACCGCCTGAATCTTCCAGCAAACCACGTAGATCTTCGAGCACACTGCCTGAACCTTCGAGCAGACCACCTAAACCTTCCAGCACAACAACCAAACTTTCTAGGACACCATCTAAACCTTCCAGCACACCATCTAAACCTTCCAGCACACCACCTAAACCTTCCAGCACACCACTTAAACCTTCCAGAACACCACCTAAACCTTCCAGCACACCACCGAAGCCTTCCAGCACACCTGAACCTTTCAGAAAACCACATAAACCGTCCAGCACACCGCCTGAATCTTCCAGCAACCCACCTAGACCTTCCAGCACACTGCCCGAACCTTCCAGCAGACCACCTAAACCTTCCAGCACAACAGCTAAACTTTCCAGGACACCACTTAAACCTTCCAGCGCACCACCTAGGCCTTCCAGCGCACCGAAACCAGTCGGCACATCTAAACCAGTTGGCCCAGCTAAACATTCCAGAAAACCACCTGGACCTTCCAGCACATTGCCTGAACCTTTCAGTACATCTAACTCTTCCAGAAAACAACCTAAATATTCCAGTACACCTAAACCTTCCAAAACAACATCTGGAACTGTCAACACACCGCCTGAACCTTCCTGCACACCAGCAACTTTCAGCAAACCACATAAACCTTCCAGCACACCGCCTGAAACTTCCAGCACACCACCTAAACCTTCCAGCACACCACCTAAACCTTCCAGCACACCACTTAAACCTTCCAGAGCACCACCTAAACCTTCCAGCACACCACCTAAACCTTCCAGCACACCACTTAAACCTTCCAGCACACCACCTAAACCTTCCAGCACACCACTTAAACCTTCCAGCACACCATCTAAACCTTCCAGCACACCACCTAAATCTTCCAGCACAACACCTAAACTTTCCAGAACACCACAAAAAAGAGCAAATGTTGAGGTCAAAACATCCCGGTCTAAATTGCCAAAATACGACTTTGAGAAGATACCCGTTCAACGAAAATCGACAAACAAAAGCGATACGCGTTACAGGCCGACCATTTTAAAACGAAAGCGAGATTGCAAAGCAGCAGCAGTTTCACTTGAAACGAATCTAGCACAATCGTCAAGGGAAACAGGGCATACAGGCCCAAATTTATTATCTTATTTTAAAGCAGGTCCAGCTGAGGTTACGGTGACGGACGAGAAACAAAATGAAAAGACACGAAGTACGAAAAACGAAGATAATACGACCGCGAAAAGTAAGCCTGAAGTGGAGCTGGCGGAAGAAGTACTTCCACTGATGGGACCAAGACTAAAGTGGTACAAGGAAAAGGGGGTTATAGCCAGTAGTAACACGAGCAGATGTGAAGAGAGAATGTCTAGACCTGTTATGATAGAAGGAAATCAGCTGCAAAGAGTCATTCGGAGTTCTGTGACAGGAAATCTTTCCCAGAACGTCAATGTACTTTTTCAGAAGTTAAGTGAAGCAGGTTCAGAAAAACAACAAAAACATTTAGGTGCAATGCTAACATTAGCTAAATACGTTATTGAGAATGGTCCTATCGTAGCAACTCGAGATGTCGCCAAAATCTACAAAGAATTAAAAGAATTAAAACCTTCCTACAGGATCGAGTCTTCAAGATTACTTGAGATAATGGGTAAGCATTTAAATGTTGCTCAAATCTATATTGATGGAAAAGCTTATATTTTAGAAAATCCAGGGGACGAAGTGCTGCGGTCGTTAAACGCTATCCACAAAATATCAGCAATGAAACAAAGTACAACGAACGAAAAAGTTCGGGAAGTGATAGGAAACGATTTTGGTATAATTTTGCAATATCTTGACAGTAAGCGAGACAGAGACACTTTAAATGCGATTTTAACAAGAATCACCAGTGTTAACTTCATGTCGAAGTTGGCAAATGTTCAGGACAAAAGAGTTTTCCAACGTTCTCAAGATCAAGTAAGCCTTAACTTGCAGTTATTTGAGGAAATGAAGAGAAACATCGAGCAGACTGCAGATCCGATTTTAACAGGAGAACCAGCAAGACGAAAGAAGTACAGAATGCTTCAAAAGATGAAGCTTGAAAAGCTTCGACACGTGTTTAAAGGGAGAGGAAGACTTCTTAAGAGTGATCAATTTCCAGATCTTGCTGGAGTCCTTGAATTTTGTTTTGGTGAAGGAGATCGAATTGACAGGGCTGGAGGTGGATTAGAGAGCCACCCAAGACTTATTGACACCGTGCTTTATCGTGCTGCAGATAGTAATACCATCATGAAACACGCAAGAGAAACTATCTTAGCGTTGGCGCCCGAAGGCTTTAACATAAGCCTTTCGAGTTGCTTTAATTACACCCAAAACTTTAAAGAAGGTACGTATCAAGCAAAAAGACACCACTCTGGTAAAGGAATTAACGCGTGTCTATCCCTTCACAAGCCTCCTCGTATTGGAAATGAGCAATTTGTGGTCAATCTACGGTGGACAACTCACAACGTAAACCTCACAATGGACCATGCTCATTTAAATTCACGTAGTATAATGATAGACTCAAAAGACGCAAAAGCAAAGGTTCACGCAGATATATCACCGGTTCAAAAACCGGGGAAAACGTGGAGGAAGATAACTCTCCCAGATCACGACTGGGCTGGACTAGCACACAACGCCATCACACCTATGACACATCTTTTTATGGAGACAAAGTCGGAGGTTAAAGACGAAAGAGGCCAACATGTATCCATTACAAGGACTGGCGCAGCTGCCACTCTGGTCAATATTTCGTACTTTGAGCCCGAAACCGTCCAAAGGGTTTTTAACGAAATCTTTGTATTGATGGTTAACCCTGCACTTGACAAACATTTTCGAAATCCTGACACCGGGAGGCTAAAGGAGCATTTCGTTTTCATTGTAGATAACGGGCCATCAGAAGCTCCATCCAATTCACTTGTGCAAGTGTGGCTAGTTCGTCTTGCCAGAGTATTGAAACTGAAATCCGTGACTCAAAAATCATTCGCCGAGTACCACAGCAAACGCAACCCGGTTGAACGAGTCCATGCTGTTGAGAATCGTGCTTTATCAAATGAGGTTTTCTCCAGCACAGCCGTACATAAAGATTACGTCATCGGAGATCAACATCATCGAGAAAACATGGAACATATGGCTGGAGAAGTACAAAACTGTTTGGCGCGAACGCAATATGGTAAGCAACCGATTGTTGTCCAACGTGGAATTGGAACTGAAGAGAATTTCGTGTTCAACGACGAAAGCCCTCTGGTAACCTTCCTGGGAAAGAGTGAATGCCGTAAAAACCTTGATAATACACGCTATTATCCCGTTAAAAATAATTTGTGGAAAGAAGTTACAACACTATGGGACCTGGATGAAAGTTATATAGGATGCTACAGAGAAAATTACCAAATTTTACAAAACAGATTGGAAGAAGAAGGAGGAAGAACTTGCTGGGCAGATAAATATTCGACCACAATCATAAACCCTGATATTCAACAAGAAGATATTACCTTTGAACAACAACCAGTTCCTGATTATGTAAGATGGTTTAACACAGAAGGAGAGCTACATTATATGCCACTGGAAAAAGTTCAGAAATTGGTGACAGAAATTATTGATGGGATTCCAGGTGCATTTCTCCCGTCAAAAGTGTTGGAAATGACATACAAGGTGTTTGCCCATGGTATACAATCAGTGACAGAAGGTTTTTGGACAGTGATATAATATATGCATATCTACGCCTTTCCAAATACTGTTCAGCGTAAAACCACTATCTCTCCCTCCCCCACCCTAAACAATGTTGGGTGGCTGACAAGGAACATTTTGCGCCTGTATTTCCGCACACAACATTGAACGGGGGGTGCGGGGGGTCGATTGTGTTGTAAATGTACGCTCTTTTGCTATTTTGTCCAAAGTGTTTTGTCACTGATTGAATCAGTGACAAAAGCTTTTTGGACAGTGATATAATATATGCATATCTACGCCTTTCCAAATACTGTTCAGCGTAAAACCACTATCCCTCCCTCCCCCACCCTAAACAATGTTGGGTGGCTGACAAGGAACATTTTGCGCCTGTATTTCCACACACAACATTGAACGGGGGGTGCGGGGGGTCGATTGTGTTGTAAATGTACGCTCTTTTGCTATTTTTTCCAAAGTGTTTTATCACTGATTGTCAGAAACGTCATTCTTAAGCCCAGGTCACACTACACAACGATAACGATACGATAACTTGTATACGCGCGCTGATTGGTCAAAAATTTATCGTTATCGTCCGACTGAAAAAAAAATCGCTCAGGTGAGCGATTTTAAAATCGTTATCGTTATCGTTCAACGATAATTTTATCATTTTCGTTGTTGCGTGGACACTGACACCATTTTTTTGACAATTATCGCGTGTTTACAATTTATCGTATCGTTATCGTTGTGTAGTGTGACCGGGCCTTAAGCCAAATTAAAATTTTTGTTATTGAAGCTAGAACTACTTGTATTTTATAGTATCACCAATGGTGTTTAGAAATGTTATATATGCCGTGTTTTGGTGAACGTATACATGGATAATTTACGCATACATTGTATGTCATTATTCTAGTTTAATCATAATGCGTTTATGCGCGTTTCCAGAACTACTCAAACATTGGGAACTTCGTAGTTTGGAACTGCAAGCTAAACTAGTGGAGAAATCTGGAATTTAGGGCTAGTAAACACGTTCGGAAGCAAATGCAATTATCTATAAGTGCGGATTACGTAACTTTTGTGGAGAATATAACGTCATCGTCAACATCCGGATTAATCTCAAAGCTGTAGTATTATAAAGCGCACAGTATGCATGCTATAAATAAGAGGTGGTTATATAGAAAGCAAGTAATAATGGC